GGCTCCACAGTTTGATGCCTAACAAGTGAAAGATCCCTAGTTTGATTCTGGGAGGAAACACAAATCCTCAAAGGTTGAGTCAGGAAGGGGATCCAGCATATATCCGACCCCTTGCAAATAAGGAGCAGCTGAAATTAGTAAACATATTAGTGTCCGTGATGTTTGTTGTAAAAAATACTAGGCATACTTTGCACATAATTAATTACTCAACCCTTATACACATGTTTAAAATATTTTATGTGCAGATGAAAAGAAAGTTGGTGTTTATATCTAAAGTTATCGACATTTGGAGGCATCAGTCTGTCTGGGGAGAACCTTTACCATTTCACTTGGAAACATAATGCCAGAATAGCATGCTTCCGTACCCATCTAATAGTATCTATTGAAAGCTGGAGATTGGACGACCCTAGTAGGGAACTAGGAAGCTAGACATCAATGACACGAAATGAAAGGAAGAGACAGGCAAGCACGGGTCGTTGATGAACAGCAACTCCAGGCAGCTTAAACAGTGTCACTTACGTGCTACTTGGTTACTTAGATGTATGCCAGCTGAGGCATCAGCTCATGCGTGCTGGGGCTGAGATCAGCTGATCTGCTGCAATTTGTGGCTGAGGTTAGGTTTCCAGCTAACGCTACGCTTGATTTCTCATGTTGCACCACTGAAGGCAGGCTGTGATGGACGGGTGACCTGTCTGAAGTGTTCTCCATATCTCGCTCTACTATAAATCAGCTTCTGTACAGGCTTTGGCCTCCTGCAAACCTAAGTTGGATAAACAGTTAAGAAAAAAAAAATCTTTACCACAATTTGCATGCTAATGATGTGAAAACAAGGGCAGGGCAAGAACTGTCAAACTGCTGTGCCTGACTTCTTTTTTTTTTACTTCAGAAACTTGGATTTCATGCTGAACCAGCTGCAGCACTATTCCCCTTCTAATCCGAAAATAGCAGGTGCTTTCTCTGAGGAGTGGGCTTGCATCAGATAATGCTCATGGTAATGTCATCCTTTCCCAAACTAGTCTAAACATGGCTGACTCTGTAACATTTTTGCAGGTGTGTTAATGTTACAGCTGTTAATCTGACATGATGAGTGTTGGGCTGATTGTCTGTCCTCTGGAGTTGTGATGAGAGGAGAGAAGATTTTTACTTCTTTATATATACCCTTTTTATCCCCCACCCTTTTCTTTCTTTCTTTCTTTCTTTCTTTCTTTCTTTCTTTCTTTCTTTCTTTCTTTCTTTTTTTGCTGTGTGATCGACAGTAAAAGTTTGCTCTGTCTGACTTTTCTGCTCTACAGTTCTCCTCAATTATTTAGGTGAATGAGCAGAGAGCAGAATTGGGCTCCGCTGACACATTTGCAACTGTTTAGTGTTAAAAATCAGCTCCTCATTATATGAACTCTATAGAAGAGCATAAAAAGATGCAGTATTGTGTCTGTAGAAAACATTAAAACATTGCCTTAAAGCAAATAAAACAGCTGCTGCATTCCTGTTGTTAGTTAAGTTAGGAAGGATTTTCCTCAAATCATGCAAACCCTATAAAACATGATGGATTCCAACAACACCTGCTGCATTTAGGGCTTGTCAGGGATTGTGTACATCTCTCTCCGAGCAAGCCTGTGTACAAATATTTCACATAAGGGCGTCTATAAATTGTATGAGTGTGTATGCGCTTGAGACCAGTGTGTTGGCTGTGCCCCTGATGCCTGGCTGACTGGTCCCAGTAAAGAGTGGAGCTGATATAAACAGGCCTGGTTGTTCCCACGTCTCTGTTTACACTGGGAGACCCCAGAGCAGCACTACCAGAGTACTGGATTCCCTCTTCAGAGCGAACTCGCACACTATTCATCTCTGTCTCATACAGAAACCATTACTCACAAGCATACACATACAGTACACCGGCACGGAGGTACAGTGTACATGCGTCAAAGTGGAAATTCACCTACACACATGTTACTTAAGCATTTCTGTTGTTGCATCTCCTTCCCCTTGCGCTTATCACTTAGACCTTTTTCTTACTGTAAACATTCCACACAAAGCCATCAAACCAATGCTGATCTCAGTTTTGCAACACTCCTGCAAACACTCTTAAAAGCTCTCTAAGTCCTTTTGAAATGGGCCTGTGATGCACACCCAACATAAACAGAACCTAACAAACACTCCCAGTTTACAGGGAAAAGTGAGGTCCCCCCCCCACCCACCCACCCTCTGCAAAAGACACTAACATAAGGAAGTCAAGTTTTTCAAAGAAATTTGGTAGACGTTAGAAGGCAGGAAGAGACTTTTTGGTGGGATGTTTCCAGGAGATTTTTGTGACTGAGTCGAAAGAATACCAAACTGTCCAGATCATCCGGGCATTCTGATGAAAACAGACCTCTTGGGGCTTGAGAATTTATGGATATGCAAACAACTTTCACCCTTGTTATCTGAAATATATTTTCCACCCAATAATAAATGCTTGACCACAATTATTACCCTTCTATACTACTTTTTGCTTTTGGAGGGTTATACATATGTATTCCCAGGAATAAAAAAAAGACAGATTTATCTTTCACTTTCCCTTTGTAACTATCTCCTTGACATGCACACACAAAGCAGTTTCAGTGATGGACCGTCTATTTATTCTTAGACATATTTGCATCTCTTAAACCGTAAGTGCTTGCATCTGTGCGTTTACATGCCGTATCATCTGACCTAATGAGAGTAAGAGCATTGTTCCCCTGGGAAGAGGCTGCCCCAGTGATATGCGGCCCAACAAATTGTAAACATACTCCTGCGCCCTGCGTCAGCTATCTCACAACACACACAAGCGAATGCACGACGACAATGCGAGTGGTCTGACTTTCCTAACCTGCTCTAAATCTGAACCTTTATAGTAAACATCTCGGGACATCTGAACAAGCCTCTTATACGGGGATGGATGTGAATTACAAGGCTATATTTCACCGAGAGAAGACTTGTATGATTAAATAAGAGGAGGGGAAGACACAATTTGGTAACTAGGGAGGAAGAACAATAACAACAAGGCTGAATCATAAAGAAGTTATTTTGCTGTTTTGTTTGGGAGCAAGCCAGGAAGGAGAAGTGTTTGCAGCGAGCCAAGATGAAGAAGCTGGGCCACGGCTCACAATGCGCACGTGTTCATAAGCAAGTCATAAGTCAATGGGTATTAAAGCACACAAACAAACAAACATGCGCACACGTACACACAGAAACTTTGAAATCTGCGATTGCTTTAGGCAACATTATCTCATAAAGATGATATGTTGTTCTTATCAGTTTAACATTTATGCTGTATTGTGCAAAGTTTATAAAATGTAAATAAATTAAAAAGAGCTCAAGTCAGACCAACAATATTCATATATAAATTATCAGTCTGCTTAAAGGTCAAAGTCCCCACAGAATGCGACAGCATGCAGGCACCTCAGCATCCATTGACTAAATTCATTCATGAGTCACAAGAGCGACTGCAAACGCTCTCATTGATAACATAAACTTTCCAAACTTCAGTCTGCTTTTGTAATCCCGTTCAGAATTCCCTGGGGAGTGTTTACTGATTCACAATCCTTGGAGATGCCACTAATCCGCACGTCTTAAATGTCAACACATTATAAAAACTGACAAAGGTTGCACACAGCAGCAGAAAATTAAATTTGCCTCATTTTCCTTCTTATGAAAGCCAACATTCCACAAGGTGGTGCCAAACAGCTTTAAACCAACATACAGTTAGTCTGCCTGGATAGGCAGTACATTTGTATGCGCTGTAACCCAGCCTATTGCAGGGCAGGTAGGCAGTCATGAAATATTAAATATTTGTGATATGCTTTATTACTATGCTTTATGCTTTATTAGTCATAGGTGATTGTGATTCCATGTGCTGTTAAAGTGAGCTTTGTTAAGGCTTTTTCAGTGGTTCAGTACATTCATGTCACCTGGAGCAGTATAGGTACTAACAACCTTGTCTTTAACTTTTCAAAAATGGGAAAAAGGTCATGTAATTATCATGTTTTTGATAACAAAATCCATGTAGGTCTACAATATCATAAGGCAATAAAAACAACAAAACAAAACTTTACAAAGAAATAGAATACAAGTTAAAAACCAACAAACAAACTGACACAAAATCAAAGAACACACACACTAACTAAAAGCCTCCTCAACCCAATTGGATCTAATTCTGGGAATTTAAAAGACCTCCATCCATGGTGACTGAGATGTCTAATCGAGTTATAGACACTGAGAAAGTCAGACTTGTACTGGGGGCTAAAGTCACTGACTGGTTAAAGAACTAATAGCAGTATTTTGGTGGTAAATCTGGATTGAACTGGAAGCCAATAAAATGACTTCAGTACTGGTGTAATCTTTCCATGTGCATGTCAGGACTCTGGCTGCTGCATTCTAGATGAGTTTACGTCACCCTACTGATAATTTGGATAATACTGCACACAGAGCATTACAGTAGTCTAAGCTGCTTGATATAAATGCATCGGCTACTTTCTCAGAGTCAGTTTGAGGTAAGAATTTTCAGAATTTTCATATATTTTTAAGTGGCAGAATGCAGTTCTGGTGACCTTATTATTATGACTATCAAAGCTAAGATCGCCATCCAAAATCATGCCAAGGTTCCTGACAAGCTCATGATAAACATGAAAAAGTTTCTGTCTCTGACT